CTTGTCTATACAATATTATTTAGGATAAACCCATATCTAGTCGGGAGACCAAAGTTACTTGTCCTCGGCATAACGGTAAACTGCCGGGTAAGTATTATATATCTATAGCGGCGTGTATTCCACGAGCGATAGTGGATACCTCATACCTGCGTATGGGAATACTATTTACGCCATGCGACAGTTTCCTTTGCCATGCGAGTGAGTTGTTCCCCATGCGGCAGTTTCCGTTGTCAAGAACGTGGTAATGCCAACAAGGTATCAATTTGATAATTATAAGTAGATGGAAAACCTATGAATGGAAAATTTCCTTAGTGTGCATATTATCAAATTATTTTAAGAATATTAGACATACCCATGTCTAAATATTCTTTACCATGATTGAAGTATTTCATGGTAAGTTATTAAATATTCGTCCTGGTCATGACATTAAACTGACAAGTGAATGGTTACGTGGTAAGTGGTAGTAGTGGTAGTAAGTATTATATTATCCTTAATAGCGGCTCGCATTCCACGAGCGATAGCGGATGATTCATACCTAATACTATTCACGCCATGCGGCAGTCCGTTGCCATGAACTAATCGATTTACGTTTATTAGTACCATAAGATACTTGGATTAACGCGGTAAGTGATAGTAAGTATTATATTATCTTTGCCATGAACCATACTAATCGATTTACTAATTAGGATCTTTGCCACAACTCACGACGTATTATCGACCACACAACCGACGAAAGAGTTCATAACATAACAATCTCTCCTCTTCCAAAGCGCAAACATAAACGTTATCCAAAGGCTAAATACGACGCAACAGACCTTTGTCGCCAATCCATATTAGGGCGATACAACTCACGAACAGGTCCTGTAACAACATGGTTTATCGACCAAATACAACGTCACTCAAATTGATAATTTCATGACGTTGGCACATTATAAAATTCATATACAAGTCAACCTCGATAAGTCGGCCCCTCGATAAGTCGGTTTCTCGATAATTCGACCAAATGTCTTCAGCCCCTTTTTTCACTATTTAAAAATATTCGATAAGTCGGCCAACAGCTCAAAGAAGAAATAATCAATTCAATGAAACAAACTACTCTAGATAGTTTTTTTACAATTAAATTTATTATTTGGTTAGGCCATGTGTTCTCAATAAGTCGGTCAAAATAGCCCAGCCCCCCTGGGCCGACTTATCGAGGTTGACTTGTAGCAAATTCCTTAATCCTCTGGATAGGGAAGTCACTGAGGTGCTTGATTGTTTTCACTAATAAAATGTAATAGTCCCTCAAAACCGATATTGCGCCTCTATATCGGGTTTTCGAAATTTACGCGCAGAAACTGATATTTTGGAAACTCGATAGAAAAGGCAAAAAACAATTACTATCGATTTTTCGAGCTTCGGCTGTAGTATTAATTTTTATATATAGATAAATTGTCCTTACCCTTCAGACGATACCTATGTGATTCTTTTTAACTCGACATTAAACATTAGCTGCCACTAGGATCTCATTCTGATCTTTTCTTGATATACCAATGGAGTATCTAACAATTTAAGCCAAATATTTGAAAAGCAGATAATGTAGTAGGTTAGGTAATATAAGAAAACCACCTATGTCTACTCTACCCTCTGTACACACTACTCATGTCCCCAACGCCCCGAGTCACAAAGTCGTTACCTGTCTGGGAGAGTCTGTTCTCATCCATCATTTTCTTCGTTTATATACCTTCCCTCCAGCAACCATTAACAACTTTCTACCATATTCACTCGTCCTCCGCCTTCCTCAACGTCCAGGCCATGTCGAGAGCTATTAAACTACGTGGTATATACTGTGAACTCTCCCCAAAAGTACTCTTCTTAAGTGCACCCTATTTTGATAGTCCCAGGCTCGGGACTAAATAATTCTGCTCTCTTTATAGTGGAGACACAAAATCCAACAGGTTTCTATACTATACACAAAAGAAATAGTAATATCATGTGACATACACTATAGCGAATTTGATTAAAAACCAGTTTATTTCGTATTAACACGCAAGTAAAAGCAGTAAAAGTGTTTAAGCTGAAAACAAGAAGAAGGTAAATGACCGCAATATTCACTGAAAGTATTGGATAATGCTAGACTGACAGCTTGCTCACTAATTCCAAAGTCATCCGCTAGTTCTCGACCTTTTATTGAGGGGAAGCTTCTTTTTTTTCCACATAACTCCCTTTTTCTGAAAAAATAACTTCGCATTATTATCTTTTATTATTAACAAACAATCTCTCACATTGTCTAAAATCTCACATTATCGTGTCTCTTAGTTCTTTATAACAAGTAATAAAGGTCCTTGCTTTACTTTTTTTTATCAATTACATACTTTGCCCCAGTCAAGGCAACACGCTTTTGAATGTTTCTTGGCCACTTCTATCCCTAGACTGGGAGAGATCCATATCAACTGTCTGTTCCTCCATAACAACTTTCTTCTAATCTGACTAATCATTACCCCTCCACTATATCGAACGAAAACTACACAATATAGCTACATACACTATATAAAGCTAGTTTAATTAGGATTCCAACATTTCTCCACAACAACTGAAATCCACTGTAGCGGAGGTCCACTATAAAGAGAGCCACTGTGTATATGAAAATAATCTCCGTAAATGCACACGCGACTTCAACTTGTTAGATTGTATAGTTAGACAGTGTCAATCGTCGGCGAATTATAATAATAAAGGTCTTACTATACCCAAGCCACAAGAATAGCATATCTCGACGAATATAGTCGTCCCGCTTTAACAGAATACGATTCCGTAATAACGTTATCTTTTAACATCAGGTCATGTATTATTTAGACATCAATGGCCATCAGTCGACAAATAATTTTAACATTCTATAATAGTTTATGGTTATGAGCTCAGGATTGTAAAGACGGAAAAGTAACCGGAGGTAGCACATGATCCTTGAACACAATTCTTCACCACTTGCAGATTATAATAAAATTACAATTAGTTGTGAATTTTAATTTTAACTTACTTGTGACTCACAATCGGGCGTCGTAAACTAAAAATGGAATAGATGTCAATGTGTAACTAAGCGGTATATAACCATGTTCAGCCATAAACGGAAATTCAAAATAATTTCTCAAGACATAAAATAATACTATACTATTCGCATTTAACGGACATACGACGGATAATATCTAACAAAAGTCGACATTCTCTTTGGTATAGTGACTTTTACCACAAACTCGCGTCTTTTCTGCGACAATGACTAAAATGACGTCACGAATTACTAGTTTGTCTCATACACACTTGGTACAAAATCACCGCGAGACGGTTTTTTAGGTCATATGATACGTATGCGTGAGAATTTAGGGTTCATATCATGGCTACCATTCGTGCCGCTTAATCATCAGTACAACGGCAAGAATGCGATGTGTAATGTTGTGACAGCTGTGTTAGATCTTAATTGGTTACGAGCACAAAGGGCAAGTAAGTTAGAAGAGTTGATTATTGTTAATTTCACAAACAAGAAAAATACAACGGTGTTGACAAGGTTCTGTTTGCACGTTAAATGTAATTGGATATCCCTACCAGGAAACCATCTTTGTTCAAATTTGATGGTTTGGCAGCTTCTCTTTCATTCTTATCAGATGTAATTACAAGAAACTCGCAGTAATCTTACCGAGACTGCAGTGACATAATTTGTATTACGTTAAATGCAAGTAAACTACAGAGTTAGGACTGGACCGGTAATTATTATATGATTCACGGTGATTTCCGTTTGTATTTCGATTAATTAACTTATTCTTTGCACCCCCCTCAATCCAGCATCCAAACAAACAAGTTAACCCACATTCACAGAATCTTCGATAAACAATACTATTTCTCATCGTTTGTTCAGTGACATTATTAATTGCAGCATTAATGGAAATACCACCTTTGGTTAATCAAGTAGAACAGTGCATCCAAGAATGCACCCAAGAATCACATTTATTATTATTACTGACAAGAATAAAATAAGCGCACGTCAGAAATGAAGTTGCGAATACTTGAAACATAAACTAGATTCTAAGATTGGGGAGAAGATTATTATTGTTCATTGTTTTAATGTTCTAATATACAATGATTATGCCAAGTTACAAGAGCGATAAATTCGCGTGGTGAAATAAATAGTCCATTAATCAAACATGAAGGGCTTGCTGTATACAGTACAATCAGGTCCTATAGTTGTAGTAATTAGATAAAAATGTTAGCATATATATCAAGTTTATCAAACTAGCAAAAAATATCTTTTTAATTTCGTCGATTACGAACCACTTTCAGTACGTCCCCAGCTTCTAAGCATGAATGGCTTATTCCTGTTAGCCGTTGGAGGAACATCAAACTTAATAGTGTGAGATGTCTCTCCATCCTTAAAGGGTCGGTTTCCATGCCAATAAGTTTTCAGCAATCCTACGCCCTCTTGCATTAATTCAAGGTCGTTAACTCGAACGACTTTTGATGCTCCATTTTCCCACGTTACTTTAACTCTACTGTTAGCCTTGACTTGATTGTTATTCCTACTGAAAGATGGTTTGGCAATTTTGAATCCCTTGCACCATTTATCAGTAACTGCTCGTTTAGCAATATGCGAATCTAGGTTTAGTTCTAAGAAGAAGAAAAAAAAAAGGGGGGGGGGTTGGTGAATTAGTCAAGTGAGAAGAATTTAACAAAGCGTCAACATATCCAGACAATAATAGTAGCTTACGTGAATCATAATTTTCTATAGGAGCAGCAAACGCTCCCACGAGGTAGACAAGAATGGTAGCAAACATAAAAAGGTTCTTAATTGTAAGCATTGTGACGAATGTATATTCTGTTCTGTTTGTGAAAATAATATCAACTCGTTCACAATTTTTTCTTTAGCGTGAATTAGTATATTTCGTTGCGAGAGACTTAGAGATACAACAAGAAGAACGTTGCGCTCTGAGAGTGGGAAATGGCCCGGAAGAATGTGTGTATTTATATGATTATCACTACCAATGAGATGTTCAATTACATCATGAGCCTTGTGGGTTTTGTACTCATTTGGACAATAAAATCATGCACTCTTTATTTAGAACATACACACCCTGATATTCTGTAAATAGGATTACAATACGAAAATGAACTCTAATTTTTCATCATTGTAACCGTAACACATCGAACGATTCAAAGTAAGTAATTGAAAGCAGGCGCAGACTATGATGGAAATGCGTCTGCTAAGCCCAAAGCCCTACGCCAAGCCCTAACACATCACATGATAAGGCGGCATTTTCTACTGTATTGTCTTTATTGTGTTTATTCGTGTGAAAAATCATCCAATGTTATATTGCAGGACACTGACACTGTGCGCTTGCATGTTTCATCATTGCGGATTTCGTCATTGCAAATCCCCTTTTACCTCATGTATGTTAAGTTGAATTGAATTGCGAAGTGAATGGAATGGAATTGGATTTCTATTTCTATTTCCTTTTAATGAATTATCCGTATCTAGTCGTCTTGTTTAATCAAATCCCATTAAATTAAATGTAGTACAAGATTATTATGCACATTCAGACGGCCGATAAGTGACATGATTGTAAGTTCTGTTCTGATTAACGACGAATGTTTGTTAGTGTCAAATCCTGAAACCGTTGCTTACACAATCATACGATTCTCTCTTTTTTCCCCTTCAACCTAAATCTAATAATATCTAATGATATTCCCATTATAAAAAAAGGGGGGGAGGAGCCAAAACGATTACCCTGACACATCGTTCGTTGGACGTATGTTGGGTCATCAAAAAACTTGCCTGTTATGTCAATATCGTACAATGTGAGGATTGCTCGGAAATATTTGAATCACATCCACTGCCGATTTTTAATTTAACCGGAGATTTTGTGTTGCATCAAATTATGCAATTGCTGATCACAACGTCAATTGTGTATTAGAATTTAGGACCACTTGATCGAGAACGCCATGCAACACAGCATTGTAGAGATTTACACAGCAAGATTCTATAATTAAACTTTCTAACTAGCCAACTATCGACCTACAATGTTTCTATTCCAAGATAACTTTTCTGATTGGATGCTGCTCTTTACCTACACATTAGTAAGGCAACTAGTTAGTCTCCCTGCTACACTGACCTCGAGGATGAATGATGATCATCCCCGTCACTCGCAAGCACAAAGACCCTGAGAATCGATTGCTATGAAAGACAGGATTAATATGTCACTAGCAATTAACTTGTCAAATTGCAATGATATTTAAAAGTTTAACGAGTACAGCTTTATAATAAAGTTTTCTTTTTACTTTGGATCGTACACATTGCAATGATATTTAAAAGTTTAACGGGTACAGCTTTATGATAAAGTTTTTCTTTTACTTTGGATCGTGCACATTGCAATGCAATGATATTAAAAGTTTAACGAGACAGCTTTATAATAAAGTTTTCGGATCGTACACAAATCACCATTATAAAAAACAAAGACATTTCAACAACAAAAAAGTATTAGCTGTACGAAATCTTCTGAAGTCAAAATAACATTGCGATAACTGTGATGCGACAGTTATTAAAACTCGTCGAGCTCTTAAAGGGATTGTAAATCGCGATCAATAATTATGTTGGTGGCCGATAATGCCATACTATAGACCGAAAATCCAATAGCCAAAAACGGAATGGTAATAAACGTGAGCGCTCTTCATTATCAACGCGAAATTTTTGCGGTCGCAATATGTAAACAGATAACTGTATCGAAGCAAGTGCATTTCTCTTCTTCTACTAAGGCACCTCACTTGAAAGTAAATGTTTCAAAAGCTGTTCACATTATTACGACAATTTGTGTATTTTGGTTATTGATATTTTTGCTTCCATTTGACGATCAAGAACAGGCGCCATATGGAAAAACATTGCTATAATTATGATCGAGCATTTCCAGGTGAATTCACTCATCTGACATGGGAAATAATGGAAAATGCGACTTTTTCATTTCCAGCCTCTCTCCTCTTTGATGTAAGCATCCAGTTGACTCTGTAAAAGAATTGAAAAGCTGAAAAGCAACTAGATAATTTATTAGTACTTACCATCAACAGAACATGGTAATCTGGTAGGTACACTGTCACGGAAAGAGTTAAACTTTTCAAAATCAATATATTTTTATTATAATTGTATGGGATAGTTTTATAAACACTTTCCAATCTTTTTTATTCAGTCGCTTAGATATCCTTAATTCCAACAAAAAGGTTTTAGCGGTTAACTTACTCGCCTAAATGGATAGTCGCTTCTTTTTAACGTAGATTGAATGCAAACTTTGACTTCAATACATGCGATGCAGGAAAGTTGGCAATAAGACCATCTCTTTCATGTATTGGAGATATATCCATAACTGCTGACATTTCTTTATTGCAGGGAGTAGTAAATAGCTAAACATATAAAATACGATTGGCATATCTACGAAAATATCTGAATTATACAACTTGTTCACTAAAACGTCATGTGTCATACACGTGCAAAATGGAATAGTAAGATTGGCTGGCACAACCAATTTTCGACAACCTCGCCAAATTCGATTTTGAAACTGTATCGATTGATATTGCTCTATTACCGTTTAGTTTCACCTTCGCTACTAATTCTATTACTATTACATCCGATATCTTTCTCGCTTACCAGAATAGGTTGGCATCGTATGATGTTATCTTAATAGCCTGATTTTCTTTTTGTCATAATTTCTTTCCGTTTGAATCACATGTTGATGCTATGTTGTGTGACGGAAACAACATAGTTAATATTAATAGGCAAATTTAAATTTCACTATAACGATAATAATAAGCAGATTTATTAGCTTCACTACAGTATAGCTAGCGAGGTTCACTATACATACGGATTTCCCTTATTGTATATTAGTATCATGCGCCCTATAACAATCTATTAATGACGCTTGTATTACACAAAATATCATGCCATTTCTATTTATATAATCTGTGCATATCATGCCACTTTTAATAAATTCAGGCCACATAAATCAGGCCACAAATCAAGCATAAATCAGGCCACATAAATCAGGCCACAATCAAGCATAAATCAGGCCACATAAATCAGGCCACGATCAAGCATAAATCAGGCCACATAAATCAGGCCACGATCAAGCATAAATCAGGCCACATAAATCAGGCCGTAAAATAAACATTATAATATAAGAGAGCTTAATCTTCGCAAGGTCTATTAATATTAACCAATAAAATTGCTTTAAATAACGTTGCACACACATATATACCCCACCTCCGAAAGCTCGTCCCAAAGTGGGGTACGACTGTAATTCGATTTTCATGTTTGAGTATTCTGCCCCTGCAATATTTTGTTTTGGCGCATATCGATATCCCCCTGATCCCCCTGCTCCTCCTGCATACATGTAATTATCCATATATGGCAAACTATGATTTACATGCTTGCATATAGGGTAACGTGCAAAAAATTTTGCCGCAAAGTAACTGAGGAAGTAGATCAATCGCAAAAAAAAAAGATGGAAGCCGTTGTTGCAATGGAGGTTGATACACAAAACTCCTCAAAGAACAAGACGTCAGAGTTTGATCCGAGCTGTTTTGATCTATTCGGTGTTACTGAGGAGTTTTTACAAGTACTAGAGCAGATACGCGTTGACGATTTATCAATACAAATAAACTTTCATGAAAACGTCAAAATTCTCAAAAGTTCTGTTACAAGTCGACATGACGCAAGCAACTTGCTGAATAGTCTATCCATAATATTGTTACATCCTTCCGTTACGCTTCATATAGTCAAGTTTTATCGTCCCCTATTGATTGATTTGGTTTCTCGTTGGCTTTTGCTTCAAGACCAATTGTCGATAGACATTATATCAAAGGTCGAATTAGTAGCGCATGCCTTCGGTCTAATACTACCGATCGCACCTCAGTTATCGGGATTGGCATTTGATTTTTTCTCGCAATCACCTTCCTTATTTGCAGGTTTACATACCCATGGAAAATATTTATCTGTTAGCAAGGTATGTGATGGTTTTAACAAGCTGAAGGACCGTCAACTACTGAGTAGCGCCTATGTATAGATATAGTTTTATTGATCTAATTAACCAATACAGGAATCTACGAGGCTCCTCCAGAGATTATTGTTAACTGGCTATCGACTGCTAAAATTTTCTCAAACAACATTTACGCGTCTTTGGAATTGGTCTCCGATTTATCAGTTACTATCTCATTCAGATGCCGCCGTTAGGTTTCTATCGGTAACGTGTCTTGGCTACGTACTAGACCTTTCGGATGCGCAGAGATCGACAGCAACTGAACTATGGGTCGGTCCCCAGAACGAAAAAGTTTACATGGAATGGGATGATGGCGTACAAAGGGATATTGGAATGTTGACTTTGTTGGAACAAGAATCGCTCGCTAAATTACAAATGATGATGCTACATAATGATTTCAAAACTCAGGATACAGCTGTACTGAATGAAGCCGATTTATCACCACTTATTGTGAATGTTTCCGGCGTATTGCTTTCCAAAAAACGACAAGAGCATGTTGAAACACAACCGAACGTCAAAGAACGACTAGCTCTCACCAATACCACTCGGCGCAATCTCCGTGCTATATGCTTGGCAGGCTCTATCGGTTCACCTATTCTGCTTGAAGGCATAACAGGATGCGGCAAGAGCGCGCTCGTTGAAGAAGTGGCCTATCTCACAGGACGGGCATCGGATCTGGTAAAAATACATCTGGGTGATCAGACGGATTCCAAGGCTTTACTGGGGACTTACGTATCGACGGCTACTCCCGCAGTTTTTCGATGGCAACCTGGTGTACTAAC